TCGTTGCCCCCTTGCCGGCGGCTCCTGGAGGAGCCCGCGCTCCCAGCGGGCCTTTATAGCCCCGCGGACGTCAGGGCGTGCGTCACGAAGCCCCTCCCCCCGCGGAGGGCTCGGGCGGCCACGGCGGGGGGCGGGGCGGGGCCTCGGCGCCCCCAGCCAATGGGGAGCCGGGCTGGACAAAGGCGGGGAACTTCGTGGGCCGGACCGGCGCGCCCCGCCTTTTCTGGGAGAATAGAAACGGGCGAAGGGGACCGCGGCGTTTCCAAACGGCCAGCAGTCGGCCCAGACGAGGAAGACCTCGCTTTTGCTCGCTCAGCGTAAAAAAATAAGAGCTACGGTAGAAGGGAAGACGGAGATTCCTGGCAGTTCTTGTCGGCAGCGCCTCACCTCTTCACCCGGCTCCCCACCCCACAACGGGGTTACTCTCTTCAGTCGTCTTTTCCAAGAATAACTTGTCACGGGATACACAACACACGCGAGTGTAAGGAGGACGAAACATTTCATGCAACATGGCACTTTCTTCCCCCTTTGGGAAGGTCCCCTGCGGAAAGAGAATTCGGCACGAGCCCCGAAGCTTCCAGGGCCCGTTGGTAACCCGGGTCTCGCAAGACCTCGGGCACAGCGTCCCCCCCAAGCCGCCGCGGCCGCAGCAGGTGGCCTTTCAGACCGGCCCTGCGCGCTTGCCCAGTTGAGCTCACAGGTCTGGGCTGCGCGTTCACCCAGCACCGTAATCCTATGACGAGCGAGCGCATTCCAAACAGGCTTCCCTGAAATCCATTTTCAAATATTTAAGAAGCAAGAACCACTGGAACTCAACCGTCAAATAACATCTTCAGGGCACCTATCTGAGAAAAACACTTTTTTTAAAAAAAGCCCTCAGAAAACAGGCTTGCAGAGCTCTTAAAAGTTAAGACGCTCTCTCATGAATAAGTAAAATCTTAAAAAAAAAAAAAAAGTTAAGACGCAATGTTGAGGCCCTGGTCTACATCTATGCTGCACAGAACACTTTGTACGGATATTCATTCATCCATACACTAATGACTGAGTGTCCCTTATGTGGCAGACAGGCTCCCTCTTCTCATGAGGATTAGATTTTAAAGGAGAAATGCTAATTTTTTTACTTTGAACGTGATGCTAGGTCTTTTTTTTTTTTTTCCTTCATCACTACCCCCAGCCCTACTTTGGTAGATACAAGTGAAATGAAGCAGTCATGATTTCTGATAAGTCTGGTTCATTATACATTTAACACTCAAAGAAACTGACCTACTAAAAACCCCAAGTATAAACCCCATTTATAGTGTCTTTGGGAATTAAAGACATTTATGCTTGTAGAGCAGAACCTTGACAGGCCATCTTGGACACACAGGTGTTAGGTGTTGTGCAGAACATCTGCAACTCAGGTCAAGCCCTCACTCCACATTTCTTCAATAACTGTTTTGTCCAACTTCCTCTGAAATGCAAACTGTTAGTGAAAACATTTAACCCAAAACTTTCAAACCACCATTTGCTGCTTTAATTTCTAGAACTCCCAATGATCTCATATAGTTTTACCTTCTTCCCTTTCAGTCCACTAGGGATCTAAAGGCAAAATGCAAATCTACTTTGTTCTCCATTGTTCCCTGCTCCCCATCCTTACTTTACAGAAGTTTAAGGTTTTTGGTGTGACCTCTGCAAAATTCAAATCTTATTTGGTCCATTTTCACCAGACTACATCCTTCTTTAAAACTCAGCTCAGGAGGGGCACCTGGGTAGCTCACTTGATTAAACTCCTGCCTTTGGTTCAGGTCATGATCCCAGCCTAGGGCTGAGTCAGCAGGTTCCCTCCTCTGTGGGGAGCCTGCTTCTGCCCTTCCCCCTGCTTTTGCTCTCTCTCAAATAAATAAAATCTTTAAAACAAAAACACTCAGCTCCAGAATCTACTTTAGAAAGCCAGTGGGTGAGAAGCATTTCCTCAGTAGCCCCATGATAATACACTGTATGAGGATAGCCTTGCTATAGAATTCTTTGTGTTGGACCCTTCTCTTAGATTTGTAAAATACTTAGCAAAAGATGATAACCTAGGGCAGCATTTCTCTAATTTAGACCACCTGCATTTAAATCATTTTTAGGAGCTTGTTAAAAATGCCCTCCTAAGCCGTATCTGGTACCTACTGAATCAGAATCTCAAAGGAGGGCTAATTTGTAAAACTAGAATTTGTGAACCCCTGGGCTGTGGTTGGAGAACGTGTAACCCAGAGCTCACCCAGTTAAAATACCCCAGGCAACGAGGAGCTACAACTTAGTCAGTCCCCTTACTAGTTTTCACAAAGCCAAGTACAATGTGCACTGGATGATTTACACTTTACAGAAGGAGGGACCAACTTCCCATTCTCCTCTCCCAACCCTCACCACCCGCCATCCTTTTCTTTCTGGATTTCCTTTTCCTAGCTTCTAAGTCTCCTCCCCTCTACTATGTGTCTTCTTGGGATGATCTGAGCTTAACCATTTTTTTCCCTACAAAATACACCACCAACAGCATTCTAAAAAGTGTACGAAATACCAAACAGTACATCGTGACTATGAATGTGTATCTTCATAAGTACAGAGCCATATTTGTACACTTCCCACTATAATTTGCTTAAGGAAGCAATCAACTAGGAAAGCTATACAGCCAAGAAATACATGTGATTTTAAAAATCAGATATGTCCTTTGAGCTGGCAGAAATATAAAAGTGCAGATTCTATAAATAATTGACTTGTACAATATGCAACAATAAATTCCTAATTTTCAATGATCTCTGAAATACTTCTTCACTTGGCCAAGAACTTAGCTATCATGTGCTAGAATCCAAAGGCCCCTAACCTAACAACAACAACAACAAAAAATCTTAAATGTTTTCACCACATAGGTACATATATTACATTAGACCATGCCTCCAAAGTGTGTCAAATTATAAATGTGTTCGGAGTACATAAATATACATCAGAGATCTTTCTCCTCATAGGCAAAATCTAATACAAAAATACATTTGACACTCATAAATTAGAAGATCCATTTGAGAGCCTCCAAAATAGAACTGGGGAAATAGGGCATGATGCCAACAAAGCACACATAGATGCAAATTGTTCTGGTTATATGATTATTTTCTTCATCCGAGAGGGGGAAAGAGCAATTTACACCAAGCTAAGTTTCCAGGCAAATCACAGTTCACAGGCTGGATAAATCAAGGCACGCAGGCCAGAAAAAGGTCATGAATTACTCAACTCAAAAATGTACTCAGACTTCAGTCTGTCTAATGGTATCATATACCTGCACTGTGGTTTGTTATTTTAGAGACTTTAGAATCATCATCTACCCCATCTCCATACTCTACCACCTTGTTAACGGACATAAACCACAAGGGTTATCCTGCACCAAACATAGGAGACCGTTTATAAACAAACCTCCTCTTTGACTATTGAAGTGGTGTGGTAAAGCTGTCTTCAGTTAAGTGAAGTGGACACAAACTTATTTGAAATCCTGAAGTCTCTCTAGAGATCTACAAATAAATATTTAAAGCAGTTAATGTAGGAAAAACTTCTTTTAAATTTTAAAGTACAGGGCTTTATATAATCTTTGAATACTGAGTAATAGTTCAAACAATATTTGAACTGAAAATTCAAGTAAGTATGAGCTGAAGCAAGAGCTTCAGGATGTAGAATGCTCCACAATCATAACTGAGAAGTTTGCCTCGTATGATATAGCCAAAGAGGACAAAATGGTAAGAGCCATATTTAACAGATTGATGATGTTCTTCCCTTAAGCCTTGATGAGATTAGGGAGCCAATATTTTTTAATACCAAATTTTCTCTTCAAAAAGCATCTACTTGGCTTCCAGATCTACTCATTCACTGAATGCAAGATAGCCATCTTTTCTCTCCGCCTAGTGTCAAAAATCCATGCAGGATTCACACCAGAAGGAAAATAAACACTTTGGAAGTGAGGAATCATGAATACAGTTTTAGTCAAAGTCAGTGAGGAATAATTCTTTCTTTCAAAGAAATTATTATTTCCTCAAAACCAGATTAAGTAGATTAGGGCTGTCAACATTCTAGCTGCTTCTATGTTTTATTTTGAAAAGAAATATTAAAGTACTGACATCACATGAGATCATGCTTCAGCTAAAAGGATATGTAAATAAATGATACCTGGAGAGGACACTCTTCAGCTCAATATGAATTTTAAAAAGTCTAGTCTTAAGCCTGAGCCAAGATAGTCACACAATTATGGCAGAAATTCTTAAGTGGCTGAGGTATTTAGACTCTTCCAAACCACAGGTGTGAAGTACTGGACAAAGAGATAAATTAAATGACAATAAAAATTAGCAATGAAGGATTAAAAATTAACTTTGAACTCCCTTTATAGAATAACCTGAGCTAAAGAGAAAATGATTAAATCCTGGCAACAGCCCAGCAAATCCTTCACCAGCAAATATTGAGGCAAAAAAACCCTGTGTTCATTCAAGAATAACCTTTTCAAAGTAATTTGCTAAAAGATTTCCAAAAGTTGGTAATTAGACAATTTATCACAAAAAAAAAAAACTCCTAAAATGTAGGTATTATCTGTCTAGCCTATAGACTAGCCTTTCTAATAAACTAGCAAAATAGTTCTACCTTAGGTTGTGAAACTATTCTATCGGCTTCTATTTGGTTGGCTTTCATAGGGAGGAAAAAAAGGGGTTTGTTACTTCAAAACATTTTATGGACAAGGTGAAGATAAGTATTTTTTTATGACACAACTTCAGCCAAAGAGTATTTGTGTTTTAAATAAGGAAAACAAAATTCTGGGTTATTAACTTTTTTAAACAAGAATATTCCATCTGTGATCAGGAGATCTGTGTTCTAGTTATCGCTCCACTGATAACAGGAAATAATCAACTAGGGTAAGTCAATTAGCCTTTTTGTGCCTGAGTTTCATTGTCTAGACAATGGGGATAAAATATCTGTGCTATGCTATTCACAAGTTAGAGGATAAAGTAAAACACTAGAAAGCACTTTTATTTTTTTTTTTTCAAAACACAATATAAACGCTGTGTCATAATACTGTTGATAATTCTCCAGGTACCTCCTAGTGTTATCCAGTCACATGTGTGCTTATGGGAGGCGTTCCTAGAATATCACAAGGTGAATATTTAGTTTGATTTTATTTTAAAAATAATAAATCACAAAACTAAAATGTTTGAACAAGGTCACTTAACCCTCTCCCCAGGTGGTTATTTATAATTACTAGAATCGTCATTATTATTACTTCTTAGCTATATGTTTAAAAGAGGAGATCTTTAATATGTCAGCCTAACTGGGAAAATGTGCCCCTGGCACAGGTGGTTTTCAGAAGAAGAGCCAGTCTTCGGAAGAGCTGTGTCCTCTGCTTTTATTTAAAGTGCAGAACCTGGTGGGGAGGGTCAGAGCAGGAACCCTGTGTCTGTCACTGAGGAACCAGTTCCCTCAGAGAAGCCAGAGCAGCGTGGATGCGGACATGCAATCTGTTTTCAAAGTCGTAGCCAGAGAAATCCTCCTGTAAGACCAAAGAAAGATATTTATGGACTCTATTAGACAAGCTTTCTGAAATACTGCAGGATAAACTGCATGGTTTTGTGCTTCCCAAAGTAAAATCTCTAACACTCCTGCCAATGGCTTCCTATCCACTCGATTTCCTTCTTTCCCAAACCTCAAACTCTGGGTTCATTTTTAACACCCAGGGGAATGTCATTAATGCTTGTCTCTGGAAAATTTTCTTCATGGTATGCTTGAAATGGTAGTCTGAAACTCTGTTCAATCTAAGTTGCTATTAGAAATTTTTCGTTCGAGATTGTAGTTATGAAATCAAAAGGTATTTTCCCACTCAAGCAAGAAGTGTGTTTGTAAAGCAAGATGGGCAATTTCATGAGTTTTTTAGAATACTGGTAAATTTCACTTAAAAATCAAGCAATCAGGGGGTGCTTGGGTGGTTCAGTCAGTTGGGCATCCGACTCTTGGTTTTGGCTCAGGTCATGGTCTCAGGGTCCTGAGCCTGAGCCCCGCGTCAGGGTCTGCATTCAGCAGAGAGTCTGCTTGAGATTCTTCTTCCTCCTCTTTCTCTGCCCCTCCCTCCCCCAAGCATGTTCTCTCTCTCTCTCTCTCTCTCTCTGTCTCGCTCTCTCTCTCTCTCTCTCTCTCTGTCTTGCTCTATCTAGGATAAATAAATGTTAAAAGAAAAACTCATGGATCACTGAATCAATTAGTTATTATTTTTCTTTCCAGAAATATCCATCAGAACAATAATCAGAACAATAATCTGAATAATCTTGAATTCAGACTTAAGTGTATACAACAGAGGGTAAGAAGCCCCTGGGAAGAGGCAGGTGCAGTATCTTTACCTTTGCTTGAAGAAGTAGAGTTCGGCCTCTTCCTACAGTCTATGAATATAAGAAAAACATATTATCTCTTAATATCTACATTTATACATACTCAAACAGAAAACATAAAAGGACAGGTTAACTGAAACAATCCCCAGTAGACACAGAGGTCAGTCAACTGCTCATTCAAGTTGAATGACCCCATTTTTTTTAATGATGCTCATAAGTTTGCATCAAGGCACTGCTAAAGAACTGTGCATGATCCTCACTCTTCTGTAAGAGAGAACAACTTAAAAAGAGTCGTGATAGCTTAAGATCTTACTGAACAACCTAAAATTGATGATCATTAAAAAGTTTACCCGACACCAGTAAGTTAGATCTCCTTTGGAAGGCATTACTGATTGAAGGAATCAACTTCATTTTTCAAGAAACAGACCAGCCTTGTTACACCTTAAGTATATATGTTAAGGCTGCATTAAGAGTAAAAATTTCCTTAAAATAAAGAATATAGTGCTAGGATTTTCTACCAAAATTCACAAGACTTGCCTTTTCTATTTTCGTAAAGTTAGAATTTCAAATAAAAAGACTTACCAATTAAAAGCCTATCTTTGGCAAGATAGGCTACCTGTCTAAGGTTTAGGCTAGAATCATATTTCTGTTCATTTAGCTCAACTTTTAGAAAGTACATATATTTTATAGTGGAATTGAATTTACTAAAAATCGTAATTTTACAAAGCTAGTATTATGTAACTGAGCTTCTAAAAGAAAGTATCAAGCAAATATAGTTGTTTTTTTTTTAAACAAAACTGCAGTGTACTTAAATACACAATAGTAATTGTCAAATTTATGATATTCTAAAAGTTTTCAAGCAATCGTCACATCTTCCTCATTTATTCTCACCATAATCTCAATTAACTTGGAAAGGCAGGTATTTTTTTATCCTGTCTTACATTTTTAGGAGGAAGGTATGTGGTTAACCAGTATCTTACACAAGGTAAACGGAGAACTGGAACCATAACACAATCTCATGTTCTTCTGAATAAGCTGCCCTATAGCATATCTCATACCATCCTAAAAAAGGAAGTGATTTCCCCCTCAAATGAGTTTTGGTCCAAAAAGCTACATTTATACTTCTAATTCCAGAAAAGAAATGACCTCATTCAACACATTAAGACAGAATTAGTAGCTTCTTGAATTCATTCTACATGAAATCAAGGAAAACAAAAACAAAAACCCATTACGTTTAAACAACTGACTTGAAATGAAGGATGATGCTTTGTGCCTTCTTACTTGTACATTTTTTTTTTTTTGCTGAGGAACATCATTTAAGAAACTAGGTAAGATCTTACCTCTGGTTTGTCTAACAGAAGACAGCCAAGTTCATAGCAAGCATATGGCTGAACGTATAAGTTATTCTGACGACACAATTCATCTTTAACAGCTCGCTGGAAAAACTGAAAATAATACAAATATTATCAGGATTAACTTACTTCCTTACCCAAGGTTCATCCTATCTTTAGGAGGCAGAATGGGGGAGTTATTTCTGTATTCTAGATGAGATTTTCTCTCTTTTTCTTTGCATCCTTATTTCTTCCCTTCCATCCTCATCCATACTTTGAAGTCCCCTACGTGCTTGCCTCCAGGCTATGCTACCCATCAGTCAGCTCAATTTGTGTTACTTAGTTCTCCAGTTGACACACTAGCCTCTATTGATTGTATTGTCAAAAACATCTTTATCTGATCTCAAAGTCTGAACATACCATTTTAATATTTCAAACAGAAAGCCCGCAAGCCAAGAACCATCTCTTGACACACATTGTGCTGATACCTAAGAAAGTGATTTGAAATAGGCTATTTAGAGTTGTATAATAACTATTACGACCCAACACTGAAAAATTTAAAATTATAATACAAGTGCATCAACACTCTAGGATTTAAAAGTCAAAGGCCCCTACTACTGTACATAAACTCTTTCAACAAGTAATCAGAATAACACTAGGGTATACCTCAAAACATCCAGCCACACAAAAGCCTCAGAAAAATCCCTCCCAAGTATATTTGAAAATAATGAATGTGTACCCAGAAGAGCCTACACTAACTTTCTAGACCTTACCTCCAGTGCTGCATCAATAATCTGTAGTTACAGAGACTGGAAAAGTGAACACGTGGACACACCTGATCATTTTTGTATTTCTCTAACTATGAAGTTTCATTCTGTTCCTTTAAAACTGTCTGCATCCTCATTTCCTTCTCCTCCAAATGAGGCTGTCATCTTTGATGAGTAGCTAGTGCCAGAAAAGAAGCCTGTATGTAAAGAAGTATTCTAAAAATCTGAAGTTACATTAAAAACTACCATTAACCATCATCAACTTCTGGCATCTGAGAAGATGACCTGTATCAGCATAGGGGCCAGAGCTCACACTGCAAAGGGAGAGGTTTAGTTCTGTTCAACGCATTTTTCATTTTTCTTATTCCTAAGCACACATACAGGTCTTCACAGTTCGTTTTCCTTAGCTGAAACAACAGCAGTGAACGGTTTACCTGAACAGCATCTTCTGAGTTTCCTAGACATTTGTGTATGGCACCAAGAAGCAAATACTTTAATCCAACAACAGATGAATCATCCACTTCATGGCAAGCTTAAAGAGAAGTGAAAAGAGCAGAAAGCATACACATTCACTTAATATCTTAAATATCATCAAGAGTTCAGTATTTCATTGTTTAGTGACCTATTCACCATTCAAGATCCTGCCCCCTGACACTCAGAAGGTTCCTTTTTCTGATCCAGTATTCTTATTCATCCCTATTCAAAGATGGGCAAAGATATCAAATGTCATAGCAACAAGAAGACTCAAAATTACATCATATTGTTACTAAGAACAAGACACCAATCTGAAAGGCTACAGACCATATGATTTCAACTATAGGACACTCTGGTAAAGACAAAACTATTGAGGCTATAAAAGATCAGTGGTTGCCTGAGGCCAGGGGGCGGGAGGAACAGATGGAAGACAGAAGACTTTTAGGGCAAATTATTCCATAAGATACTGCCTCTAAGAGTGGATATAGGTCACTACATTATTTGTCAAATCACACAGAATGTACAAAACAAAGAGTGAATGCTAATGTACAACTAAATCCTAGCGGTGTGTCAGTGTTGGTTCTCTGGCTGTAACAAACGTTATCAAGTGGGGGATGCTGATGGCCAGGGAGGCTGTGTGTACCCGGTAGTGAAGGGTGTGGCATGTGGAAACTCTCTGTACTTTGTGCTCAGTTTTGCTATGAACCTAAAAGTACTCTAAAAAGTACTTCAAAGAATTCTATACTACTGTCATAAGCCATACAGTGGGCACCTTCATATGTTTGTACTGATGCACTGCACTGGTCACTGAGGAGAGACCAGACGTGATCCCTCCACTTCAAGAAGCTTGCCATCTCCTGTGTAGAATGGGCACACATGTAAGGAGGAAGGTTACAGAAGTTTTCCAAGGAAATGAAAAAGGGAAATTGGAAACATAGTGGAGCTAACAGAAGAGGAAAGGAAGTAACTGTTTCTATGGACCAGTAGAGATATTGAGATTTGGGAAGACTTTATAAGTGTGTATATACACACACACAAACACACACATAAATTTGTGTGTATGCATATATATTTATATACACATAAATGTTCAAAGTTCCAAAACAAGTAATTGAAAGAGTTTGGCAAGTAGCAAAAAGGTAAATGTTAACAATAGAGTCTGAACCTATAAAAGCAGAAGCTGCCTCAAAAAGCTAGGCTGAGAATACATCCACATAAGAAGACCCCAGGCGGTGCCTGGATACTGCAGTGGGTTACGTATCTGACTCTTGGTTTCATCTGTGGTCATGGTCTCAGACTCCATGCTCAACATAGAATCTACTTAAGATTCTCTTTTCCCTCTGCCCCTCCCCCTAAAATAAATATGTAAATCTTTAAAAAAAAGATTTTAAGGAAACAGTGTCAAGGAAAGGGAAACACTCATGCATGTACTCATTCATTCAATATAAACTGAAAATCCACGTGCTAGGCACTTCTAGGTGCTTGCTTGGAATACAGCAGTGACAAAATAGATGATACAAAGGACAAATCAGTAAAATAAAGAATTGTTAGTGCTAAGGCAAAAAATAAAGTCAGGATGGGGGATGGAGGTATGCATGTATGTCAGAAAGGTACAGTTTAAGCCTCAAAGAAAAGCCTCTACTTAATACTCAAAGTATTTGAGTAAAGACCTGAAGGAAATGAGTGAAGGAGCCATGTGGATGTTTAGAAGAGCATTTGCAGGCAGAAAGAAGAGAAAGTGCAAAGGCACTGGGGCCAGCATGTACCTCGTGTGTTCAAGAACAGTAACGAGTGTGGCTGGAGCCTGATGAGCAAGGGGGAAGAGCAGTGAGAGGCAATAGGGTAGGAGCAGGTGGTGGACAGATCACAGAACATTGTAGTCCCCTGAATGGATTTGGACATTTACTTTAAACAAGATGAAACAACAGAAGGTTCTAAGCTGCAAAATGACATGCAACAGTTTAATAGGATCACTCTGGGCACTGTGCTGAGGATATATAGAAACATCTTTAAAATACAGAGAAAGGGCACCAGGGGTGCTCAGTTGGTTGAGCATCTACCTTTGGTTCAGGTCATGATCTCATGGTTCTGGGATCAAGCCCCATGTTGGGCTCCCTACTCAGCAAGGAGCTTGCTTCTCCTTCTCTGTCTGCCCCTCCCCCTGTTTGTGTTCTCTCTAAATAAATAAATAAATAAATAAATAAATAAATAAATAAATAAGTAATAAGTAAGTAAGTAAGTAAGTAAGTAAGTAAAATGCAGAGGAAGAATGCGGTGTATGGGGAGGATGGATGGAGGAAGGGCTATGAATAAAAGCATAAGACAAGGATGTGAAAATCCAACTCATGAAGGGAATCTGCTCATGAAGAGAGCTGCTGCAGATGGGGACTCTGAGAAGCTGAATGCACAAAGCTGGGTGGGCATTAAATTAACCATCCACTAACAGTTTTTTCTAGAACTTAACTGTTTCTCTATAAAGATCTCTGCACTTTATACAGCTGAAGAGATTTGGATTATTGCTGCTTAACACTGGGGAATGATAGAAACTAATCAATCTCAAAACTACACTAATATTTAACAAAGATATTAAAGAATTATATCATGTTTACTCAAGAGCCTCCCTTTCCCGATGACCACATCTTTGCTCTTTATTTCGATACCTGGAAAGGGGTTCCAAAAATATGTAGTCACATTAGGTGATAATCGTTCTTGTGGCTGCAGATTATTGCCTATTTGATATTTGCATTTGTGTCTGAATTATCTCTACAGGATCTTGCAATTGTGCATTACAAAGAATACTTAAAATTCTGTATTGTTCCTTTGAGTTAGATATTGGTAGATATTCCATGCTTGTATCAACAACTAGGGATGGGTTTAAAATTATGCATATCCTTTTGAAATGGACATAGCAGAACTTGTGTATCCAAGAAAATTCTGTTTTCTTTCAAGCAATGCCCTTTAGAAGGGTTACATACTCCAATTACAGGGCCTCTGCACACAGCTTCCTTTGGAGATGTATTCCTTTGATCTCTAGAATATCAACATTGACAAAAGTTTTTACCTTTGAGGGGAGACCTCTTTTGGGGGAGGGGAATAAGCAAAAGGTGCTTACAAGGAAGTCTGATGATAAAAGTATGTGATACAATGGATAATATTCTTTATTTGATCAAAAAGTGTGAATGTGGAGAAATCTGATGAATTTCCTTCAATGACTAACAAACCAGTTTTAAGTCCAAATATTAATATTAAACCCCTTTTGAAAAAGGGCAGCATATATGTGAATAAGAGTACATTTCTATAAAATCATTTTTTGGATGTATGTGTTTTTAACATAACAGTCTCATGCTACAATCGTACTTCTAGCTATATGACATAAATCTCATCATGCTCCTGAAGATGAAGCTGTAGGAGAGGATAAAGCTCTGTCACTCAATGTGCTTCTCTCAGACCAGTAACGGCGACTCCTGTTCTGATTGGAGCTGGGCATGTCATGTAACTGTTCTGAGTTTTAGTTTCCTCATTTATAAAATGGCTATGACAATATTGTTGCCTTTCCTACTTACCTAGAAAGCAGTATAGACCAAACTAAACAGTATGCCATATTTGATGGCATCAAATGTCTGCTATTAAGCCTTTTAAAAAAATGCTACAATATTTCATTAATATCCAATAAAGCTTTATTTTACTTGAAGATTTAGTTTATTCTTTCTGTGAATTTTTCCTACAGCTTTAAGAAAAATGACTTTATGAAGACTATATTTATCATAACGTATGGTTCTATGCTTTTCTCTCTCTCTCTCTCTTTCTCTCTCTCTCTCTCTCTCTCTCAAGATTTTACTTATTTATTTAAGAGAGAGCAAGTGAGCATGATTGGGGGGAGGGTCAGAGGGAGAAGCAGACTCCTCGCCAAGCAGGGAGTCTGACACGGGGCTCCTGGGCTCCATCCCAGGACTCTGAGATCATGTCCTGAGCTGAAGACATGCATAACCAACTGAGCCATCCAGGTGCCCTGGTCCTATGTTATGTTTTGTTTTGTTTTAATACATGAATCAAAAAATCTAGGCTTCTAGTTATACTCCTAGGTATTTACTCCAGTGAAATGAGGACAGGATGTCCACACAGAAGTCAGGCACACTTATATTGTATACTTATGTTTGTAGCAGCTCTACTCATGATAGCTAAAAAACCAGAAACAAATCAAATGTCCATTAATAGGAGAAAGAATAAATAGTGTGGTGCAGATATAGCCAGATGCTAGAGTGCCACTCAGCGAGTGGAAAGAATGAACAGTGATATAGGCTATAACACAGATCACTCCCACAGATCCTATGCCAAAAAAAGGAAGCCAAGAAATAAAAATTACACATGGTCTGAACTTATATGAAGTTCAAGGACAGGCAAAAGTAATCTGTGGGAGAGAGAAGTCAGAACAGTGGTTGCCTTGGGGTGGGGACTGACCAACAAGGTGCACAAGGGAAATTACAAGGGTGCTGGAAATGTTCTGGAGCTTCACCGTGGTGGTTGGTGTACGCCAGCATGTATATATTTGCCAAAACCCAGTGAACCATATGCTTAATATCTGTGCATTTTAATACATGTGAATCAAACCTATATGCAACAAAGGGCTTTTGTTAGGAACAAAATGTATGCTTTCAGCAACCCCCAGGGCTATACAGTCAGTGATGCTTAGGGAATCGCGTGCCTCGCCACACACCACTAACAATGTGGACATGTCCATACATTCTGGTGCTGCCTACGCCTATCACCTAAGTAACGTTCTTCATCACTACACCGTCCATCCAAGAACAACAGATCTGAATCAGCGAACATTCATGAGCAACCGAAGGAACCAGCTGACGTGTATAGTTTTATTTTTACCTTGACTCATCCTCTGCAGGTTGGGGAAGGAACAGTTGGGAAGGGCTTTCCACAGGTACAGCACTTCGATGGAGGCCAGCACACAGAGCGCTCTGGTTGGAGCTTGTTTCCGAAACCTCTCTGCCTGCAAGTGGGTAGAAGAAGCAGGCTAAGTTTGGGCAAACAAATTCAAATAAAAACATATCCTTGCGAGACAGTAAAAAATGTATGAATCATGTCTGACATGAACAACCTCCCTTCAACAAAGCTAGAAATAAGAACTTAGCTCTAAAAAAATTTTGCTTTCTAACTTTTCATGTATTGGGAGATAGGCCTTTCATTCATTATTCAACTCCATCTACAATCAAGATCTGGGGTGCATTCAGACAATTTGGGATCAAACTGGATTCATTTCAGTTTAATCAAAAGAATTTATAAAAGTTGGGTGACAAGTAATAAGGAATGGGTTCTTATGGAAGATGTAATACTAGATGCTTCTTAGTTATGGTTTTACTGACTTTTTAATTTTCTATTCAGTCCCTGTGGTCTCAGTGGCATTCCACATTACCATCTAGTTTATACTCATACCAAGTCATCAATTGTTCACTTGTTAAAAACAAACTAAAATCATGGAAAATTCAGGATATGACAAGTTGTCATGTGATCCACAGTAATTCGGCTAACTTTTATTTTTAAAAGTGTAGAATAAATCAGGGACTTTGTCCCTACAGTCCTGGACCTTTCTACTGGTAAATCTGATACATACTTTTGTTGTTGATTAAGTCAAAATGTGGTGTGTTCACTAGATTGAGAACCAATAGTCCATTTATCTCTTGCCTAGATTCTGACAATTTCTATTCTTCTGAAATCCTCTCTCTTTAGAAAGATGCTTTTCCTCTCTGGATAGGCTCATTAGCTCTGCATGGTCTATCATGTGTGCACCCACTCAAACAAGTAACAACTGCTTTAATCATGTGCAGCAAAACAAGCACTTTACACTCAAAGGAGAATTATGACCATGGGAGTAAATTTCCTCCATAGTGGCAAAGTGCATGCTGCATGGCAAGTAAGTTGCCAGCTTTGATGAGGATTTCCTAAAACCTGTCCGAGATGGAATCAGTTACAAATTCCCATCATAAACAACACACCAGATAAATTGGCTCCAACATACCTTTTTCACTGAGAATTGTTCAATCTGATTGTTTTTCCTTTTGAAGAGTTTCTGAACTTCTTTGAAGACTATCTGGGCCCCGTCCACATCACCAGTGGCTCCCTGACAAACTGTAAGAAACCATTGTTGTACTCCTTAAGCATCAGGGGAAAAATATGGTTGATGGTACTTGGAAAAATGTTACCAAAGAAAAAATGGGAGTACATATTTCTAAAGATTGTTACACAAAGGCCTGCACCATCCTGTTGATTGTTATGCCACAAATTCAACAACTATTTCCCAGCAAACTGGGTTCCTGGAGCTTTGTGGGGACATATAGGAAAACCACGGTCCTAGTCCTCATGTTGGGCAATAGTCTTAGATGTAACAAAAGTCCCAGCTATTATCATAGTGTACAGTCTAGCAGGAGCCCACATGCTCAGAAAGTGGACTCAAAAGGAATCTAAGAAAGAACAGCAAGGAACCAAGAAGATCATGAAGTTTCACGATGGGTGGAGGATATCCCTGTGCCTGGAAAGAAAGTCATGAAATTAGTCTTACACATGTTCATTGGCCACGTACCACCTACAACTCACCAGCAAGAATGTGAAGAAGAAATACATGTTTAAACCTGAAATGTCCATTTCAGCTGGAGAAATAAGATAGTCCCATAGCTACAGTGTATATGATGATAAGAGCCTCAAGGGTAGGAAAACCAAAGTGCTTTTGGAAAAGCTCAGGAAAAGAAGAGATCATTTCTCTTTAGAGTGATCAGAAAAATCTTAAGGATCTAGGAGTAAGGCTGAGCCCTGGAGGATGATAAGATTTTCATAGTCTGCACACAATCTTCATCCCATCCCAATCCCCGGGCAAAGACTTAAATCATATTTCCTTTGCTTCATCTTTGAAGGTGAAACTTTACCAACTGCTCTCTGTCATTCTCTTCTCAACTCCAATGGCACTGAATCTGTTTATATCAATTTTTAATTAGATGTTGTCTTTGGGACCTATTGTTTTTCAATCCCCAGATGGGAGGTCTATTGTTAGTTGCTCCTTTATTTGAGTGATCCTAAAACTAGGTGGTCCTCTACTCACGGTTTGGGGCTTGGCCAAGCAGAGCATGGGGCCATCGCCTATCAGAGAATGGAGAGCTGTTGGCAAGGCCAAAGAGGCAGAAGCACCAAGATTTTGAGAAGGCTGTGGATGTAAAGGTGACAGGAGAGGCAGATGATTTTCTACTGGGAGGATGAGGGATTAAGCTGAATTTTCAAGGGAAACACAACCATGTTCCCAGTTAGGGAAGCAACCCTGGTCCAGACAGAGGTGGTGGTCTGAATCTGTCCAAGATGACCTCATCTCTCACAGCTATTTCAAAACTAAAAGGAAATGCGGTGATTGTTTTGTAGGCCAACCCATCAGGATATAGATTAGGGTAAGGTTAAGGTTCAAGAAAGCCAAAAGACTTGCCTAAGGTCACACAGTAAGCCCATGAACAAGAGTAATGTCTGTGGCATCTAAGCCTGAGGTTATCCTCAGATGATTCATAAAGTTCTTACAGAGTCACATAATTTTTTTTATGGGGGCCGCGGGCAAGCTTTAGGCAGTGGCCGGTGGCCCTGGCTCTGCCTCTTGGACCCCTAGAGTCGCATAATTTAAAAAAGAGACGGATGGTGATGATGGTTGCATAACAATGTGCATGGATGTAATGCCACTGAACTGAAGGCTTAGTACAGTTAAGGTGGTAGATTTTATGTTACATACATTCTACTACAACTGAACAGTACAAGAAACTAAGCCCCTGGTGGCAGTGTTTCTGATCTCTGAGTGCCCCTCCCATCTCTGCCTGTCAACATGTACCTTTAGGGTCAACTCGAATGGCAGCTCTTGCAAAATGGCTGATAGCACAACAGAAGCGAGCCGTCCCTTTCTCATGAACTCTTTCTGGTGGAGCTCTTGACACATCCTGCCATCTGCACAAAACCCCCTTAGCAAAGGCAGAGACTAAGCTTTCATGCTCTATCAGCTCCTACAGCATGTTATGATCCTGGGATTTCCAGTATTTGGAGAATAAATGCTCCTCTACACAGCTGCACTGTACATTTGTTTGTGTTCTATGCTCAACAAAGATTAAAAAAGAAACAGCTGCCCACAACTGACTGTGTGAGTCCATAACACATTAACATTAATTGCTGGGTTGTCGTGAAGACCTCTGCTTTTCAGTTCACCCACTCCTCAATGTGCTGGGCACACGGAGGCCACTCAGTAAATAGCTGCCACTGTCATCTGAGAGGCATGTGAGTTTTCTACAACAACTCTTAAGGTGTGAAACACAGTAGCCTAACCAGCATCCTGAAAATAATCCACTCAAACATCAGCTACAGAGCCTTACAAAAACGGGTGCCCTGTGGGGATTACAGTAAAGAGTGTGGGTATAAAGGGATTTCATACTGACTCCTAATGGACTGCAGTTTTTGAACATCCAGGACATGTAACTGTTAATTCTCTCATTTTTAAATATATCACTTAAGGGATTGGAATGACAGGAAATATTTCACTAAATCCAAATAGAGAAGTAAGGAGATACTTAAAACTTTAAATTATGTTTGGATTAGTCTTGAACTTTAAGTAAAAGAATCACTTATATGGCTGGACAAGGAGAGGTAACCAATAGAGGCAGAAAATGTACAGCCAGCCACTGGGTACATAATGATGGCAAGTAAGGTACCTCGGGGCACAGACAACCCTTTCGTCCACCAGGTGGCAGCACATCTTCATCTTCTGATGAGAGGACAAAAAGCCAACCGCTCATTCATATTGGCAATTACAGGTGTTCCTGCCAAATGATGTTCAAATACCTCATGCTCTGCAAAACCACACTGTAAATCTAACAAGGTTAATAGGTAAAACAAGTTTGGAGCTGACTACTCAAAATCTAGGCAGCTTTGTTACCAGGGCACTAACAATCCAAACAGAAATATTAACACAATTTCAGAGACATGTTAAATTCCCGAAAAATTGTTTAAATTCTCAAAGACTAAAAACCATATTGTAGAAAGCAAAGGCACAGGGTAAGCTGAGGCTGCTTAGGGCAAAATGCACAGAAAGCTTCACAATTATAATAAAGCATTTTCAGGACACAGCATGTGACCCAACAGCCCAGATGGGGAGCTGGTGTGCAGGACTGCAGTGTTCAGCTGGGTCCGGGAACGCTGTATTACTCAGTTGTACAAAACATTAACATCCTGGGCGGAAGTGAACAAGGAGAACACCACGTCCTCCTGCCATTGTCCTCCCATCGTCCTCCCATTGGCCAACATGTGTGGGAGACAGAACTCAGGGTACAAATGGGCTACTCACCCGCAGTTAAATAGGCATAATAGCACTGGGACCACCTGGACTCGTTTTTTAGCCTCTCAAAGGAATCAAACGCATCCTTGAAATTCAGCTCTATCATGCTGCACCAACCTATGAAAGAGATATTTTTAGTATGGGACCCTAAGGTAGCGATTTACACCCCATCTTTAAGCTGGGAGTCTGATACTGCTGATTCTTTGTCTGAGTACTGCACGTACACTACCTGAAAACCTAAAGATGGTCTTCTGTCTCGTAAGTATTTTCAGTGTGATATTCTGAGTATGACAAGGCACTTCTGATTTCACAACTCATTAAGCAGTACAGAAGCAGTAGAGTGGGGGACACCCCGGGGGGCAGTTGGTTGAGTGACTGACTCTTGGTTTCAGCTCAGGTCATGAATGATCTCAGGGTTATGAGATTCAGCCCTGCACTAGGCTTTGCTTAAGGCTCAGTCTCCCTCTTCCTCTGCTCCTCCTCCTCCTCCCAAATCTTAACAAAAAACAAAAAAACAAAACAAAACAAACAAAAAAAAAACCCAGCAGTATTCCGAAACATAAAGATTCCTATGAAAATAATCTGTCTCCTACACTCCAATTTGGAATGTAAGATTAATCTAAGTGCAGCAGAACTTCTCCAAGAGCAGCACAGACACAGAAAAAGAAGCAAAATATCATTAGACTGCATATAGTGACTACCTCAAAAAGTCTTCAAGCACTCACGGAGCTCCTTAATGATTACTATTAATTCTCAAACCCTGTGAGAAGTGGAGACAAGCCAGTAAGAAACTAAGTACTTGCCTGCCTTTCCTCTGCAGGTTGACAGCAGAGCTAAGAAACATCGTTCCTGGATCAAAACACCATGAGACAGGCCTTCTGGTAAAGAGTGGCAGCCACGAGAATGTGAGGAATTCTATCTTAGTTTTTAGAAATTTACCTTCCATTGCCTAAGCCCTTCCATGTGTCAAGCCCTATGCCAGGCACATGATATGATTCTAATTCTACTAGGGGCTTCCTACGGTGGTGATGGCATAATTTTACGAAGGAGAAAATCTAAGGCCTGTAGAGATTGGTGACTTGCTCAAGGCCATAGAGCTACTGAGAGGAAAAAGCCCAGGAGTGAAGGCCACTGCTGTCTCCTGTCCACAATATCACTTCATAATAGATTCTGGTATCTGGTGTATCGTGAAGTATTTGTATCACCTTGGATCTGCCTTTGAAGTACAGGGATGAGAGGGATCCACACTACTAGAAAATCCAATGTCAAATTCTATGAGATAGGATATGAAGTTGACATAGTTTATAGTAAAGATTGGGGCTAATTGTGTCCATCTTATGAAGAGTTAAATGTGAAGTAGAGGTGGAGGGGACACAGAAAGTGCAGAAGAAGCCTGAGTTATGACTGCTCTTTCTTGGATTGACCTTCCTAAGCCTTATACGGTTTAGGTTTTGATCATTTCCAAGCCTCCTTCAGGTGTCCCTCCATCCTGCCACAGACCTTGAAATGGTGCGCCGAAAGAGGCCATCATCATCACTTTGCAATACAGGCAGGTATCAAATGGCCATGTCACACAACTTAAAACTAATATATTGTATGTCAATTATACTCAATAAAAGTGGAAGGAAAAAAAAGGCAACAATATCTTAAGAACAAAAAAGGCCACCAAATCTAGGTGTTAATTCGAGTTCTTTGAAATATATTCCATCCTACATTATAGCTGTTACCCAGAGCTCCACCAGGCTTGATGACATAAAAATCTATTTTCCATTGGATTCTACTTCAGCTCTTCTCTCTAAACCATAACAGGTGCTTAAAACACAATATTATTTTACTGGGAAGTTCCCTATCTTTAAGCTTGTACTTTAAAAAAAAAAATCTAAAAGTATTCAAGAAGAGGGACGCCTGAGTGGCTCAGTGGTTGAGCATCTGCCTTCAGCTCAGGGCATAATCCTGGTCTGAGGATCGAGTCTCACATCAGGCTCTCTACAAGGAGCCTGCTTCTCCCTCTGCCTACTATGTCTCTGCCTCTCTCTGTGTCTCTCATGAATAAATAAAACCCTGACACAAAATTATGACCACAGCAGATAAACAAGTGGCAAGCATCACAGGGTCTTGACCTGACAGGTGGCAAATGCCTCCTAAGCATTCTCCATTTCTTCTTCCCTTCTCTGCAGAGGACCTTGGAGTTCCAATTTTCCCACTGATTGCATCCCTACCTCATCATTTCTCCATTCTCTGGTTCCTCTATTCCCTTTCTAGGTTCTGTATGACATAACCTTGTCATACTGGGCTGAAACCCTAACAGCATGAACCCCTTATTATATTGTATCATTACTGTTTCAAACCCAACTGTGTGTTGATTCTCCTCAGCATGATAGAGCAACTGCTATATAAAAAGATTATGGAATTGCTAAAATAACAGGACAGGAGAATTTTAGTGCAGTCAGCAAAAAATTCATAGTAACAACTTTGGGACAGGAAGGAGAAAGCTGTAAGCAAATATGTATTTCCATGGCTGCTTATAAACTTATCTGCAGGAGGGGAGAAGCATAAGGAAGGAGCTGACACATGTGGAGGGCCTTCTGTGTGTCGGGCATCCCACCTGGTGCTCATTCCTACTTCATCTGAACCTTACCACAGCTGAGGACAGGCACTTCTCAATACTCATGGCAACCATGGGGCTTATGTAACTTTTCCCAGGCCCCTGAGCTAGTCAGTGGAGGGGCTGGGACTGAGCCCACATGCCTAACTGTCTCCCAGGCCATATTTCTCTTCCCAGGTAAACACTGGTATGGGAAGGAAGGGAAGGAAAGCATAGTTATGGATTCTAATGTGCAGTCAGATAAAGTAGTTACAAATGAGTTTTATCTGGGACGCCTGGGTGGCTCAGTGGTTGAGCATCTGCTTTTGGCTCAGGGCATGATCCTGGTCCAGGGATCGAGTCCCACATCAGGCTCCTCACAGGGAGCCTCTGCCTATGTCTCTGCCTCTCTCTGTGTGTCTCTATGAATAAATAAAAATCTTTTTAAAAAAATGAGTTTTAGTCAACTCCTTTAACATGACCTATTATCCTAAAATCAAAAGGTTGTAAGGAATGAATAAATTCTAAAGCAGTAGTGACAAACACTGAGATAAGCATCATTGCTTGTCCTAACAGTCTTATTATCACAAAAGGCAACAAACATTTTACAAAAATCCAAAGTGAATAGCATTAATAATACAGACGTGCACAAGAATGCATTAAGACTCACAACAGGAAGCTGGACATCCAGCTGGACATAAGTTGAATGCGTTAATGCCATTTCATTACAAGAAGCTAGACAGACATTTCATATTTACCAATTTCATACAGACAGACATGTTGGATTTCTCTCTGATCTATCGCAAGTTCCAAAGCCGTATGGAAAGAAGTCAAGGCACTGTTGATTTGACACTAAAGAAAAAATGAAAATAGAGTTACTGGCTAAAATCTGTCATTAACATTACCATCATCCTAATTCCAAAGCCTCTTCTTCCTTAACAGTTATTTAAACAGATTAAACAGCACAGAAGAGTATGATATCAAAATTTCTGGAACATTCCAATTCACCTCAGTTGTGAGATGAACCGCAGCACAGAGCACTTCTTTTGCTCTGGTAGGAAATTCCTCCAGTGAGGGCTTAGTTCCCATTCACCTCCTAGAGCACACACTTCAGACTTGTGCCACAGGACTTTTGCTCAACTGTAACCGTAATTGCAAATCCAGCCCCTTGTTACCAAATAGGTTCTATACGGACAGGGACTATAATTCACCCTCTGGTGTATACAACAGGCGTACCTCGGAGATAACCACAGCTTCAGTTCCACACAACAATAAGTGAATATTGCAATAAAGCAAGTCAGAGGAATTTTCTGGTTTTCCAGTGCATACAAAAGTTATGCTTATACTATCCTATAGTCTATTAAGTGTGCAATAGCATTGTGTCTAAAAAACAGTGTACATACCTTAATTTAAAAAAAACTTTATTGTTCAAGAATGCTAACCATCTGAGCTTTCAACAAGTTGCAATCACAGATCACCACTAATATAACAATAATGAAAAAGTTTGAAATACTGTAAGGATTACCAAAATGGGACTCAGAGACATGAAGTGAGCAAATGCTGTTGGAAAAAAGCTGCCAACAGATTTTTAATACAGGGTTGCCACAAACCTTCAATTTGTAAAAAAAAAAAAAAAAAAAAAAAAAAAAAAATTCAATGTCTATAAAGTGCAATAAAGTGAAGTACAATGAAATGAGGTGGGTCTGGACCTGCCCCAGGCCAGAAAGACCCTGGTCAGTCCTGAGTGACTGTGTGAAGCCTCTTTTAGGCTGCCCTCAGCATGCTCTCTGCTCTGTGACCCACTCTCTCTCTGTCCTACAGTCACCAGTAGGATTCTGTATCCAAAATGCATTGTCTGGTTGCTCCTGGTCATCACATCTCCTCTACTAACCCTCACATCTGACTTGCGTTCATCTGGCACTGTCCAGATCCCAACAGACACTCCAATGACTGTTCTTACTTCTGACTAAATACATTTAATGTTTCTTTCCACCAAAGACCCCTTTCAAAGTCTGCCAACTTTATGCCAGAGCACCTAAAAAGCATCAAATTCAATCCTAAATACAGCAATGATAGGTGTTAATAAATATAAATCCTAAATGCCCTAAAAATGAGATATACCCTGCTCTCCATGATTCATGTCCAGGACTGTGCCCTGCCCCCACAGCTGGCACTCAGCTCCCTCTGCTCCACCCAGCCCTCCCTGGGCTTCCCTATGTGCCCTCTCTGTTGCTCCCTGGCCATCCCCTTGCCAGTGCCCTTTCTGCCTCTTCTGGCCCACATGGCCAGGCAGGGGTGAAAGCACCTAGAAGAAAGGCTACCACATTCCTTGGCTCCTTCAGTGATGCATGGTCATTGTGGGAGGCCTCTTGGTGCCACACGCCACACTGATGAGTCAGGGAGAGCCTTAGGACAGCCTGTGATTCCAAAGCACCGTAAGCCAAACAACTCATTAACCAAGGCCCTGGGTGGATCAATAACTCTGTTCATGCTGCTCCATCGTAATGTTTCATTTTGCCAGAATGGTTCGGACTGTAGTGTTGAATCCCCTATCACCATCCACAAAGGCTAAGGACACACATCTCCATCCACATCAGTGATTCCTGTTCTCAAGGAGGTTAACATCTAGGTAGAGGGAATGTGAGAACAGGCCCCAACCCTGTCAGACATTCACACTGGGCTATAAGTACACCGCCACCAAGGTCCCAAAGAGGTGAAAAAAAATTTTTTAATGCAAAAATCAATCTTGTATGCTATGTATCTGTGTGCACACATGCCCACAAGCATGTTGCAGAGTAAGTTAGGTGGCACTGTCTTTCTAGATCAGCAGTTCTTTCCCTGCAGCATACATGCACTCATCTTAGTGTATTTGCATGAAACCATAGTGCTAGGGGTTCTTCTTTGCATGTATCTCCAAGGTCTAATTTCCTGACGCTCAATGATCACACACAGAATATTTCTGGATGAGCCATCATCTGCAAGCTGTGTCCAGCTGCAGGTACACTGCATGACAATGCAATGCCACACTGCCCTGCAAATGACCAAAAACTACTTGTGAATGTTAATTAGTGGGCAACTACTAAGTGCCTGAGGCAACTACTAAGTGCCTGAGGTAGTACTGGCTTGAGCTACAAAGACAAATCAGAACAGAATTTTAAAAGGAAGTTTAGGAAAGAAAAAAAAAAAGCAAGCAATTCAATCAACACTGTTTCTCTTAGCCCTTTCAAAAAGAATCTGAGGCTGGCATGTATTAGTTTCATTTTCAAATGGAGAAACCAAAATTCAAAAAGGTGAAGTGGTTTGGTCAAGGTCAACAAGCTAGCAATAGGGTAGTATTCACTCTGCTTTGATTGCCTCTAGAATATGCTTTCTTCAGGAAGAACATATACAGGTATGATTACACTAAGGGCTTTGAGATGGGGAGAGTATCCTGGATTATCTGGGTGGGCCCTCAATGCAATCACAAGTGTCCTGATAAGAGGCAGAGAGAGAGAGAGCTGACACACACAGAGGAGGCAGTGTGATCACAGAGTCACAGACTGGAGATGCAGCCTCAAGCCCAGGAGCCACTAGAGCCCACAAAAGGCAGGAAATGGACTGTCCTCCCAGACCTCCAGAGCTTCCACCCCCAATCACTTTGATTTCAGCCAGTGAAATAGATTCCGGAATTGTGACCTCCAGAGCTGTATGAGATTAATCATGTCTGCTGTTTTAAGCCACTAAGTCTACGATGATATATTTCATGGCCTTAGGAAGTGAGTACAGGGGATTACTTTCAAAATTAAAACTGTGAAGAAAGTACCACTGCCCCCCTTCTGTTTGTTATAAGCCATCTGATGGAACTAGAAGGGATGGAGATCATTATGGAGCCTAACAATATTATCCCAAGAGTAATAAGCATAACTACAAAGTTAATTCCAGTTCTAGCCTGATTACTCATTAAAGAATTCCAATGACTAGCCATTAAAACAGTGAAAATAGATTTCCCCTTCGTTTTCACCAAAATAATTTTTTATTTAATTATTATTTTTTTTAGAGAATGCATGTGCATGAAGAGGGTGAGCAGGAGTGAGGTGGGGAGGGATAGAGGGAGAGGGAGAGAGAATCAAGCAGGTTCTATGCCCAGCACTAGTGCAACTCAGGGCTGGATCTCACAACCCTGAGATCATGACCTGAGCTGAAATCAAGAGTCGGACGCTTAAACCATTGAGCCACCCAGGTGCCCCTTCTTCAAGGTAATTTAAAATAAAAATGATCTAGTAGGAATTTTTATGCTATAAATTATAATATCCACAACATAACAGAGAAGGAAGAATTGTCCTCAATTTGATACCTGATTCACAGTTTAAGTTTTGGAGGAACTACATATATGCTGAGCTGAAGAGAATACAGGAAACGGGCTAGTATGAAACAGCCAGGGATCCAAAAATTGGAGGTCAAGTATCATCAAAGCCTTTGCCTGGAGAATTATTGCACAGACAGTCTGTATCACGGAAACTACCTGAGGTCTCAGGTTCCTCACTGGTAAAATGAGGAAATAATGTCGGCAAGCATTATCTGCTTCCAGAGGAAGCCGTGGGAAACACAAGCACAATTCTTGGCCAAATTAAGTGGAGCATATTTGTTGCCAAATTAAAATCAGCACAGTGTATAGCTACTGCTCCATTACTACAGAGATACAGTGTGTTTTTTCAGTCATTCAGGACACCTTTCTTGATAGCTATATTCCTCTGTGCTTTATTTGCAGCAACTATCCTCAAGACTTGTTCCTCCATTTTACCTTGACTGAATGTTGCTAGTGTGTAGGAAAACTCTGGAAGTTGATTTTTGCATATGTCACATTCTACTCATGAATTCTCATATGTTTTTTTTTTTTTTTCATTTTATTTATGACAGGCACACAGTGAGAGAGAGAGAGGCAGAGACACAGGCAGAGGGAGAAGCAGGCTCCATGCACCGGGAGCCCGACGTGGGATTCGATCCCGGGTCTCCAGGATCGCGCCCCGGGCCAAAGGCAGGCGCCAAACCGCTGCGCCACCCAGGGATCCCTCTCATATGGTTTTTAAAAACATTTCCTCTTGGATTTCTGGGGCACAATATTCAAATCATTTGCAAATAATGGATAGTGTTGTCTTTTCCTCTACAAGAGACTTCTTGAATTGGTGAGAACTATTAGTTAAGATACTATTAGCAAACCACATGCACCCTTGCTTTATTCCTGCTGTCTTTCATGAAGATGTTCTAATGCTCCACCATTAAGTATAGTTTGCAGCACGTTTTTAAGTAGATGCCATCTTTACCAAATGAAATTCCTTTTCTATTTCTAATTTGCTAATAGTTTTGTTTTCAAAGTGGATTTCAATAAATGCCATTTGGATACCTAGTGATGGTTTTATCAATTACCTTCTTAATGCAGGTTATAATAGAAAGACATTTCCTCATGCCGAACCATGCTCACCTCTTTGAAATAAGCCCTACTAAGGTCATCATCATATGGCACTTAAAAAATATATTGTTGGATGTGACTTGTTAGTATTTATTTAGATTTTGTATACTCAGAATGAAGTTGACCTATATTTTTTGTTCAGTGTTCTCCTCCAGAAGTTGATATCAGGATAATGCCAGAACTTGCAGACTTGTAGGAAATAATTTAATATTTTCTATGCTCTGGAACTATGTAAATCACTGGTTCACTATAAAGCCATACCTTTCAATTGAATAATTCATTTAAAATGTTTAAAATACCAGAGTGCCTGGGTAGCTCAGTGAGTTAAGCATCCAACTCTTGGTTTCAGCCCAGGTCATAATCTAAGGGGGATGACATCAAGCCCTGCATCAGGCTCTGTGCTCAG